CTCGTTTGTTTTGCCGCCGAACTCGATGACTAAATTGATTGACAATCGATGTACATGTAAGCTTCGACTTCGTCTCGGTGAATATTCACCAATGTTCACTTCGCCTTTGCCGAATAATTGTTAATTATCACTGAAAAAAGGCAAGAATAACTTAAAACACGTTGCAAGCCCTGTTAGAGAAGCTCGAGTCAAAATGAAACTGTAACTCTGTAGTAGACATACAATGAGAAACGAGATACCGAAGCAGACTCAATGTGTTAAGCAATCACAAGCTTTTAATAGACCCTGTCACAGCGTCTTTCTCAATTGAATATGGCGGGAATCTATTTGTCACGTGAACTTGGGTAGATCAAGTCACGTGCCAAATATCCCCATATATATATATAGGGCCGAAAGTTCAAATGCAGGGTCAATCGAGACGGCTCAATGTTTGATAACTTCCTAGGGCTAAAATATAATCCGTAATCGCAAAATCTAAAGGCATCTATAGTTAGCTTTGTGTATCTTTTATCACTTTCGGATAAGGGCTAAATTACCCTCTGCTTTATGTCAATAATTAATCAGATTTGACGTCTAAAAAGCTACATTACAGAAGTTCCGTGAAGTAACACGCAACTGGAATACAAAGGAAATACGTAGTTAAAATGATGTCTCGGTGACAGACGAGACCACGTAACGATCTACACACGAAAGGGAAATTGAAAAACGCGAAAGTGCCTCTGATCTGAGAGCAGAATAACACAGCCAGCTGTGAAGAGTGGCGTCATAGCTTACTTAATCTTCCGTGTAATTGCTGTCAATGCTCTCTCCCCTTTTGTTTGTAAATCTTACATTGTTATGAAGCAAAACGTGACCTTTACGTAGCTATGAAAGGAGTGACAATATGTCAAAGTGGGTTGTTATCATTGTTACTCTTAGAGGTTAACTGTATTTGAAATTTAACAGATCCCAGCTTGCGTGAATTCCATCACCGGTCAATTAATGTCAAGGTCGGTCACGATCCAGTCTTAACTCCATTAATCGTTGCGCGGGCTCATAGGACATCATAAAAACCCCGCCAAAGTGCGCGCGAATTTTAGTTAGGAACGTTTCGTGTACGCACGGCTCGCAAAGTTTGTCGTGAAAATGATTGCAACTCGTTCCTTGAGCACTTTGCTTGGAATCTTCATGGCTTGGAGTGTTTTTAGTGGTAAGGTACTGCATGACACATTTAAAATTATTTTCATTATACCTAGTCTTCCAGTAATTCATAATTAATGGGTCAACTGTTACAGATTATGTTCAAAGTTTCTTGGACTTAAAATAATTGTTTTCAGCTGCATTTGAAATGATAAAAGAAAACATATAAAACTGCTGTTTAATTAACTTTGCTTCAACTGTTCTTTTAGCAAAACACAGAATCGTCTATTGATAGTACAGCTAATTCACTGTAACTTACACTCGTAGCGTTTTTAAACTGCGATCGATCTCCGACAAACGTTTTGGCACACCTTCCCACTTTTGCAGTATCTGTCAGGGAAATTTATCAGTTCGTCCCCTTCTCCCCAGTTCAGTGTTGTTTATCGTGATGAAATCGTCATTGCCCGTTTACAACATTGTCGCGGGCGAAGGGGGTTCCCTATTCTAATGATGTCATTAGGTATTGTCCCCAAAATTAAACACCTTGTCGACCATCTTCGCGCTATCTGATCCAGGTGTGCCAAGGATTTTTGTCGTGGATTTTAGTTTCTGATGAAGGATGTTATGCACCAGATTAAGAGTCATCAACAAAGCATTTTCCTAAGCATTTACACATAGACATAGAAGTAAGGAATAAGTGCAAAGAATGCACGAGTGACTGAGTCAGTAAGTTATTATTATTTTTTCCTTTATTCTTTCATGTCCAGAAGGATTCAAGTTAGCGCAAGCCGGGAAAAATGAGGTATGTATGAGATTTGTTTGTAATAAAAAAAAAAAAAAATGTCTAGGTTCCCTTCCAGTATAAACACTGGCTCAATTAAAGTTTCGAGCTTTTCATATTTTTGCATAAACAAAACTAAGGTAGAAATCTATTTATTCGCTTCCTTTCCATGCAATGTACCCCACTTCTAGCTCTAAAGATCTGTATTAATTCAATTTTAACTTTGAAAGAGTAAACAATAAAAGCCAAATTGTTTCATTCTCTGGAATTTAGTTTAGCTGATGTCAAACAAGGCACGTGCGGAATTAGTGAAATGTATCCAAGACAACAATTAAACGATATCTGGCTTCAGTGATCTTGTGATTAACTGTAACGCTAAGAGGGATTTACTAGTCATAACCCTTATGTCATCCTGCTCCTTCAAAGTCGGTCTACTAAAGTTCCCGCCAAATTTAATTCATTTCAATCAATCAATCGATCAATCAGTCAATCAATCAATCTTTATTTAAACACGAAAATTTAACTCAGTAAGCTACAGAATTATGTTAAGTTCTCCCTGAAATTATGGGTTGAGGTGTCCAAACCGATCCTTACCATGTCTCCAAAGATTTCCTTCTCGAAGTTCAAGCCAATATTGGGCTAATATAAAAATTCTGCGAAAACAGTGTTTGAATTCCTGGCGCTATATGCATGTTTAGAACATACGATTTCAAGGCAAGAATCAGAATTTCCCAAGCTGATTTCAAACTGACGTCAACTTTTGACCGCATTATCTAATATTAGTACAATGGCTTTCTTATGATCCCTTTCTTCCCTCAACGTAAAGCCCGTACCCTCCAGTACGAAATATGCCTATATGGTAGGTACCACTGCAATTAAGGCCTTCCGATAAGGTTTTACATCGCACTTAACAACTGATACAATAAAAATATTTTAAAACCATAAACATTGTTTACAGAGTCCGACAAGTCGTACAGGAATTCTCGTCTCCTGCAACTTACGAAGCACGTAATCCTGAGTAGATCATGTCATAATGTAGCGCTCATTATTTTCGATTTACGTAATGAAACCTTCGGTAGTTGGACCGAGATGCTCAAAAAAATTTGGTGCGTTTTATATAGTTCTAGATTTTCAAGGGATAATAGATGACCTCGAGACGGTAAAAGCATGGTTAAAAATTTAAAAAAAAACTGTAATCAAATTCTCAGATCGAGCATTTTTTTTTTCTTAATTTTAGCACTTGAAAATACATCACCATATGACAAAGAGGGAAATACAAAAGTACTTTGGAGTAGACACACACGAACAAGGTAAAAATTGTATTAAAACTTGTCTTCTTCTGACCGGAGAGATTAATTTTATGGTATTTATCCTCAGCTTCACAGCCTGCGTGACCGGCGGTTTAGTTGAGGTAGAGCGCGCGAGCAAGCGGCGAAAGCGGCGATGCCGCGAGGAGCCTGGCTTGCAGCTTCGCCGCTCGTTTTCGCGGGGTCTAATACTCCGCGAGCTAAACCGCTAACTACGCAGTCTATCACTTTCATAACTCGCGGTTTTAGTACTCATGGTTATCAGAAAAGGAGGAAAACGCGTGCATGATTTTGGCGGTCATAACCAGAACTGACTGTATCATAGTTACCACATACGTCGGGTATCCCGTGTGTGTGTTTTTCCTCCTAAGGCCTGGTTAAGGACGTTTGCACCCATTTCTGCCAATCCTTACTGAGCTCGAAATTCATGTCAGAACGTCACGCCACACCATACATCAAGCGTGCGAGCTGAGGAAGGAATATAAACAAGCATAGGGCTTGGTATCGGTTGCGTTAACTTCAACTGCAGTTTACTCTATTAAATGGTCAGTGGCCACGTCTTTTCCTTTCATAGATCAATTTCAATACTGATTTTCTTCATTTTAACCAAATACCAGAAAAAATATGCACATTCTGCGCTCGTGTGACACAGGTTTTCTTCGTAGTAGACGGGTAAGATCAAAAATATTTTTTTTTATTTCCTATCTCAAGGAACGACATCAGCTGCAGAAGTTTACTTAATAGACTTAGTTGCGTTAAACTGAGTACGTTTACCTGATATAAATTTCATTAACGTAACTTCTTTTACTGCTGATAGTTGTAAGCTAAGATCGTTTTTGAATCACGAAAGCTTCCAGAAACACATAGTCTTCAATGCGTATTATCTCAAGAACGAGCGCGGTGACCCCTCAATTTTTTCGCCTTTTTGGTAACAGTTGATCGTTACCTTACTGTATGGCAATTTTAAAAAAAAAAAAAAAGAAAAGAAAAGAAAGAAAGAAACCTGTACGTGAAAACATTTCAGGCGCGAACGTCATTAAGCTTAGACTCACTTCTACATTCATGCCGCGACCCTAACTCCATAAATTAGATTACCGCAGAGAAGCGACGTAGAAATCTGATGTATCAATTAGATGTGGAGCCCTGACCCTGAAAATGTGAGCGCCAAAAACACTCGTCTATGCTGGCTTCGTGCTCCATTGAAAATTCTAACAAACAGTATAATAACGGCATTTTGCTATCAGCATGTTTTCCTGCTAAATATACTTTATGATGTCACGTAGTTCCAGAATATGACGTCACAAGCCCATTCCAAGCAGATGAATCTGGCAACTTTCTCAGTTACAAGCTTCACAAGCATGCGCGACGCAAGAGAGACGCTGACGAACCTAATGTGTGGTACTACCACGTGGAGGCATTTGGGATGTCACTTCATTTAAACCTCACCAAAAGCACTAACGTCTTAGCACCCGGTATGGTAGTACAGACCGTCAATACGAATGGAAGTACAGAATATAGTAAACCACCACATACCGCCTTGTATGATGGACACGTGACCTCGGATCCCAATTCAAAGGTTGCTATTGGCAATCACGATGGTTTGGTGAGTGTAATTGCGACAGGTTTTGATCAATGATTTTGGCTGTGTTTTCACGAGAGATGTTTACCCTGGTTTTGTTTTAACTTTACTGATGTGAAATTTTTAATCGTGTAAACGCAGTAGCAAACCTCGGTAAATGGCGGTAAAATCAAAAGTAAGCCAACCTAGGTTTGTCGACAGTTGAATGCCTCACCAGGCATGGTTTAGCTCAGGAACCGACGGTAACCGAGGAAAAGCAGACGTTGTTGGGACATCTTGGCAGCAAGTGTTCACGCGTTCAGCTCGTGAAGAAGAAAAAAATAGATAAAGATTCCTCCTAATTTAAGTAGATTTAAAGTCAACGGGCAAAAAAGCTAAATTAACTCATGTTTAGGCAAAGAAATCCCGGACTGCTGTTTCCATTTCATCGTCAAGTGGCGTAAGCGTTGCTTTCTGTTAGAAGCTCAGTATAGCTTAGTAGCAGTGTACAGGCAGGCGCAACTAGAAGAAGACCTACCACAAAGAGAGACAGAAAAAAAATCGTAATTGAGGTCTATGGAGAAGAAATTCATAGCGGCCCCGAATAAGAGGAAGTAACGGTAAACAGTTACGTAGCCCGGGCTCCGCGGCGGATGCCGTTTCAGGTTTTTTGCGGGAAGAGGCTCAGCGAGATATCAGAATTTTCTTTTCACTATTCATCTACAAAGCTGTACATTTAAGGAGAGTCTGGCTCGACATCACCGCCTGCAAATTTGCAACGACCAGCGTTCGGCAATGAAGTAAAGTCAGAAATTTTATAATTTTCCAATAGTTTCTGTGCAACATTGCAGCACTTGCTTTCCGAGAAAACCTCAAACCGTCCGTTGTACGCGGCCTACTTTAGTTAATTAGTTCCGTGTAAACAGCTTCTCTAATAACTGCTGTTTAGTTACGAAACCTCGGTGAGCAGTAACCGTAGTAAACCTCTCTCGTGAAAACACGGCATAAGTAATGTCATAAGACCGAATAGTTCTTGAAATTTGACATTTATTTCTTTGCACCATTGTCATTTTAACGCATTAATTCAATCATTTATTTACTTATTTGTTCAACTTTATTCATTTATTTATTTATTCATTTATTTATTCTTTCATTCATTCATTTGTTTATTTATTTGCTGTTGTTTACAGAAAGGGATGATTAACTACATGGGAAGCTCTTTTTTCATGCAACCACTGGCCGCCCATCTCGCAAAGCAGCATGGACTATCTGGTGGTTCTCGACCACATCTTATTTACCGGCGCTCTTTGGACGACGTTAGAAACGAATGTCAGCTTTCAGGTCAGATAGAATACTTGTTGACTCTTTTTCGACATTACGCGAATACGTAACTTAAGAAGTCTAAACTGAGCAAAACAAACTGACAATTATAATCATAGTTCTAGTTCTCCTCTGGGAGAATTGGGCCATACAAGTTGAAAATACAGTCCATAAATATCAGGACCGGCTCCTTTGACTAAAATATGTGTAATTACGATGCAACTTCCGTAGCGTACCCTTCGTAGAGGGGCAACTTTGCCGAGGATATTAGAGTTTGTGCTTGTTAGTGGCTAGGACCGTTGTTTGGGAAGCCCTATAAGAAAAGACGTCTAAGGCAAACGTTGTTGCGTGTGACTACTAGAGGGTAGATATGTATTCCACAATATCCGGGTTGTAACAAAATATACGGATGAAGTTTTATTCAGGGAATGACTGTTTTACTAGGGGGCAAGATCTGATTAAAACGTCGAAGTCGGAGAAGCCCAAATTAACTTGAAGTTGCTCAAAGTTGAATTTGAAATTGGTAATTTCAGTGGTAGTGATTGCCGAGTCCAGATAATCGCCGGTAACAAGCAATTATACTACTGGAGTAACGTAATAACTGAATGTATACTATTGATTTAATTCGTGACGCATTTTATTAACTCTTATTAACCGAATTACAGGTTTTCTACGGGGAGACAATTGACCGACGTCGCGAGTACAGACCGAACGCAGTCGACGTCTGTACACACGACCCAGGTCGAGATTCTCCCATACAGAAAAATGTTTACTACATGACAAACAAGGAAAATTTGCTTCTTTTTATGTAAATGGTTTGGACTAGCTGAACATTTTGCCTGCCAACGGAGATGAGATGAACTTAAATCTGCCACAAAAAAAATTTGCTCTTCCTCTTTGCTGTTTTTTTTTTTTTTTTTTTTTTTGTNTTTGCTTTTTTTTTTTTCGCATTAGGCTTTTTGGCACTTCCATGAAACTAATATTTTTGAAAGAAAATAGTCGACGTCAATAGTTTTGGATTTTAGTTTGCAACTTTATCCCCGCAAAATGTAACCGGCCAAGATGCCGGTCTGGTTGAGAAAAGCTGGACCTCGGTCAGTGTCGATGTCAGCCAATCAAATTCCCGAATTCCATAGTCCCAGTCCTTGTGAGACACAGCCATGTAATAACTGGTTATACTGCTTATATAAAGATGGTTTAAGTGCACTATATTCTACTGCATTGCTTTACACAGAAACACGATCTAAACGGAGCTCTCCAATGGAAAAAGAAGCAAGAAAAAGCCTCCCTCGGGAAGTGAGATCCGCCCCACATAAACACCTAGAGGCCATGTTGGTTGCTGACCACCTGTACCTGCAAAAGTTTCAAAACGACAAAGAAGCCACTGACCTACTCTTAACACTGGCACACATAGTAAGAGAACGAACGATTATGATAATAAGCGAGCCAATATCATTTTTCGTGCTCTGATTGGCTAATAAACGGTTTAGATTGAGGATTTTCCTAAAGTCGTGTAATTCAATTCCTCCGTAATTCGCGTAGGATTCTTACCATAAAACATCTTGAACAAGTGGCTGGTTTATTATTGGAAAATTCTCGCGGCTTTCGGAAAATGAACAGCTTGCCTGGCCATACCAAGAAGCGAAGCTACGAGGCGACAGTGACATTTGAGGACATTTGTTAATATTGCCCCGCTTATATGTATGAATTGTCATCCGTGTTTTTTGTTCTTTTTTTTCGTCTGTTTTCTTACGCAACATTTTTATACATCTTATTTTTTCATTCCTTCCTGTAAATCAGTCATGATGATATCGTATTGGTATATCTACTTAAAAATAACTTCTGTATCGCCCGAAAGTTGAAAACAACCGAAAGTAGAGATATAGAAAAAACGGCTGCTAAATTAGAGCGTAACGAAGGAAGATACATTCGTAATTTTGTGGTATGAGAATGATCTAACGGTTATTATGCAATCTTACAGGTAAACTCTTTGTACCATGACGAAAGTGTTGGGAATATTAAACTGACAATATCAGTCGTGAGGATAGCTTTGCTTCATTCCAGTGTGAGTGTTCATAACATAATTCCCATTACCTCATTACGGACAATACCACCATATCATTCCCATAAACGTAGCAAAAGCAACAAGAGGAAAATTTGTAATGTAAATGACATAGAGTAACCATTACAGTAATGTCTTGCGTCATTATTGTCCCTGAAGTTTAGTGATACTTTTACATCCAGCCCCTCAGCTATAGGAGGTGCGGTGGCCTTCTAGCAGTTACTTCGCTGGACTCTGGTACGAGTGGTCCGAGTTCCAGACCTGGCCGGGGTAACTGTGTTGTGTTCTTGGGCACGACATTTAACTGCAAGAATGCCTCCCTAAACCCAGATGTCCAGATATGAATGTATACCAGCAAATTGATTGCTCAGGAGTAACCCTGCCATGAACGAGTTTCCCATTCAAGGAGGAGAAGAAATATTCCTTGTATAGTTTGATGTTACGAAACCGCGGCTGGGCCACTAGGCTCGAATGCGGACCTTACCTTTTAAGATTTTTATTCTACAGCTCAGTTATACAGACAAAGACGACAACGGAAAAAGGCTGCATGCCGTTGTAGCCTGGGCAGAGGGCGATATGCCACCATCCGACGCTGATCCTCAGCATGCTGACCAAGTCATGCTTATTACAGGGTGTGTATATCGACTTAGGGGTCACCTTTTGGTGTCTTAGTCTGTCTTTGTGAGAGTCTCTGTTTTTTATGTGTGAGTTTGTGCCGTCTTGCGGACCTGTAATTAATTTTCACGTAATACTTATGTCAGCTGACTGTCCGGTTGACGCTCTGCTGGCCTCTATGAGTATTCCAGGAGACCAGTACTTGAATTTACCCCGTGTGACTATGTATTCAATACTATAAATTGCAGGCAAGAAAGAGCGCAGATAAATATTGTTGATGTTACTGCTGCTACTGTTGTTGGTGTTGTTGATGGTGATTACTTTAGACAATTATTGAAAGACCATCAAATAGTTAGGCAAATTCTTGGAAAGCTCTCCCCCAGGAAATCTTTGACCTTTGAGAACATATTTAAAACCTTCACTACGCAGTATATTAATTTTATGACAAAATGTTAGTATGCCTTGAATGTTAGAAATTGAGTAGAGCATCATAGGCTGCAGTGACCAATGTTTAATGTTTTTCATTCTTTCTCTCTTTCTGATTATCCAGGAGTACTACTGGAGGTAAGCACCCTGACTCTTGTTTTTCGCTGCTGTAGCTAATATATCTTTCAATATAATGAGGACACATGCAGAGAAAACGCACTGTTGGATGATTCACATTTTCAGTTGCAAAATATGTATATCGTGGGCGGTTATGTGTTATTTCAGTTGACAATCATTTCGTTTGTTCCTTGTAAGGACAAATTGATAAGCAGTATAGACATGCGGAGTTAGTATAGTCGAGTGGTTACAAGTCGCCATGAAGCCTTGCAAACTTCAAAGAGGCAGACAAACATGTCAAGATTTATGCTGGAAGGTCCATGCTCGCTAACAAACTTCTGATTTGCGCTCGTACAATTTGCACGTCTGAATTACCTCACAATAATTTTTTCTGTTGGCTAATTTCTCAGACAAAAGTAAACAGCTTTTGTGCTTTACGAGCGGTCAGGGCCAAATAAAGGTGAACAGAAGCATCGAACCAAGAACTTTGTTGGGCTCCATAACCAGTCACATCTATTTCTATGGCAAATTCCAAAAATAGAAACTACTTACGCCTTCCTTCTCTATGAATTTACAGCTGACATACAGTTGCTTTCAAAACAGTTACCTGAGTTTACAAAAGCCATTAAATTTGTTTTAGATATGTGAATTCCCCTTAAAATGATCAATTATGTATCCAGCATAGCGTATGCATGAACAAGACGTGCCAATTAGTTCGTTTTCAAAGGATTAATTAAAATGTAAAATTGCTTTCAGAAATAGATGGTGAAAATTACTAGTTGTTTCTCGTCAGCTAATTTCCGACTAAATTTTTTATGCCACTTAAACCACCTCGCTCTCCGTCGATATCAACTACCCTAGTTATAAGCCCGGTATAGCAAATCTTTTTAAATAACCTGTACTTTACAGCATTCTTTGTGTTTCTGTATTTTTCAGGTCTGGCCATAGTCGGCTCCACATGCAGCGGGGTTGGTGCCAGTGTAAGCAATGGTGATCTGGGACTAGGATCGGCCTTCATTCTAGCTCATGAGAGTGCGCATGCGTGAGTAGCTATTTACTTTCTCTCACTCACAAGGACCAGTGGAAGGAGGGAATACTAGTTGCGAAAACTCCTGACAGAACACTAGCGACCTTAGTTTTATATGGACCAAAGTAGTCTACAAATTGTAGTTACACTAAAAAAAGGGAGCGTTCTCGAATTCGAACAATGGTTTACAGCATGAAGATGCGAAACGGGCGGCCATATAAAGAAATGAGGAGGTAGACCTTACGCAGGCAGTTCGCAATGCTATGAACAGCAAACAGTACCCTGCGTATCCATTACGTGCTCAGATCAGTTCACTTAGCCATTTGCATATAATCACAGGCTAGCTGAAGAATTCGTTCATGCTAAGCGTATGCATCTCGAGTAATGGATGCATGCGGAAAGTTTGGGGATTACGAGAGAAGCGTAAGAGTTGAGAGTTCTAGTTCTGTGGCATTCATGAAAATGTTTTGACTGCAATTTTGTATTCTGCCTTTATTTTTTTCCCTCGTCCTTCGCAAAAACACGCCATCAAGGGAGACATTGCTCGCGCAGCCATTTTGATTGATGTTGCCACAGCTAGGACTTGCACAACTGGCGTCTGTTAAAAAAAAAAAGTCTAAAGATACAGTGCAGATAGTAATGGCGGAGAGCCTCTTAAGTACGACATGGAACCCGGACGTTTCAACCTATTTTTATTTTTACAGACTTGGTGTAGGTCACGATAGCGATTCAAAGCCAAATTGTCCGGACGGACGTTTCATCATGGCCGTAGCAGCACCAGGTGGAAAAGATGCTTTCAGATGGTCTCCCTGTAGTAAAGCTGATATACAAGGGTTCCTCAGGTAAACCAGTCAGAGTCCTTACAGGCATTCGTGAATAATGCCTGGCGTGGCCTCTTTTTGCCCTCATTACAATCCCCCCAAAATGGTGCTCTCCCCCCGCCCCTCAGACGGTTGTATTCGCCCTACACCTCGTAAGATAGTGTCTACATGTACGTAGTATTCCTTTTACTGATCATGATTTAATGGATGAATTTTAACGGATAAAATAAATGTTTGGCTTTGTAGCGGCTCGTCCTCCTCCTGCCTTGATGACAATCCTGATTCACCTATTACAATCTCAAATGCCAATCACTTTAAGCTCCCCGGTCAGGTGTACGATGGCGATGCACAATGCGCACTACAGTATGGCGCTGAGTACAAACTTTGCACCAAGAAACAGGTAACACAAATTATAGCTTGTAAGTAGGCACTTCTCTCGTAATTTGAAATTTCCCCCCACCAACACCAGAACGATTTCGTGTAGGGTGTCACAAAAATACTTTAACTCAGGCAATTTCTCAGTCTTCACAAAAGGCTAGTAGAAAGACTGATGCCCGAGTTGACAAACTGAACAACCGACCGATCGACCAACCGACCGACCGTCTGACTCACTGACTCACTGAGTCAGACGATTCATGCGTCTCAGATGGATAAATCGTTTCCTAACTATATAAATATAAATAATTTCTCTCTAGTATAAATTCAGCCACGGAAGGAAGAAATGAAGGAATGAATGAGGAATTGAAGGATTCAAGGATTAAATGATTGAATTGATTCTATAATTGAATGAATCATGATCAACGAATTGGTGACTTTACTTGACCGTAACATGTTAAGCTATTGCAAAAACTAATTGATTTAACTTGATTTGTTCACGATTTACTATATGATTTTGCTTAGTTTGAATGTGGATCTCTATACTGCACTAAAAACGGCTATGAATGCAAAAGCAACGTTGTTCCTCCAGCAGATGGTACAAAATGTGGAGAGAGGATGGTGAGTAGCTACTGCACCGCAGGACTGTAACAACAATTTCCCGATGAAATTCAAATCTCGATATAAACAAGCAAAACTTTTTCTGCTTTTCACTTTTTTAAGCAGGAGAAAGCAAAAAAACAAGCAAACAAACAAACAAAAAAAATGACCAAAACAAAATATAATAATTATTGCTAAATACGACACAAGTGAATAGTGCTTTTCATGCGTTCTGATTGGTTAACCGTAGGTGATTAACAAATCACTATTCGCCTCCACTTCGTTGGAAAACTGTGAATTGTTGGTATTATAACATTGAAAACGTATGTCCATACAAGAGCTGCACTTATTACAAGTCATTTCAGAGTTGTTGACCATATAAATTATAACTTGTGACAACCTCATTACCAAATGATATTCCTCTTTTTTTTGTTAGTGTGTTGTATGTGTTGGTTTGCTTCCTTGCTTGCTTGCTTACTAACGTTCCTATAATACTGTATTTTTTATGTATTAATCTAATCGCACTGTACAACTTTCGATTTCTAGTGGTGTATTAAAGGAGAATGTGTCGATGATGGATCGCCAATGATTGACGGGGGATGGAGTGACTGGTCAGACTACGGAAAGTGTTCATATTCCTGTGGGGGTGGTGTACAGTACAAAACACGAACCTGCACTAATCCGTCGTAAGTACTACCATTAAATCACCCGATCGTAAAGTTGAAATATATTTAGGTGATACGCATTAAATTTCATCATTTGATAAGGAATTTGCCCTGCAGATTAAATAATATCATTCTCATTCTCACTAATTAACCTGTTATCACTGTCATTATTATATGTTGTCATTATAATTGTAATTGATGGTTATTTAATGCACAATGAAAGATGCTTTTAGCTTCAAAGTATTCCTCCTTTGCTTCGGATGGCTTCTTTGGTTAGCCGACTGTTTTTTGTTTGTTTGTTTGTTTCAAACGGTTTCTCAGCCAGTTGCTTATTCGTTTTTTGTTTGTTTTTGATAGGCTGGCTTTCTTTCCTCGTTAGCGTGTTTTTCTTTAGGCAAAGACGCTTAGCTTTTGAAATTGAGTCCAAGATTATCTGCCGTTAATATGAATAACTGATATCCTGCTATAAATGAATCTAATAAGTGAATACATAATAATCAAAACCCCAAACGTCCCAAAGATTGCAACTTGATGCCAGTATTACGTATTGGCGGTTAACTACTGGAAAGGATGTCCGATGACAAGATGGAACGACGGAGAAAAATATTTTCTATTTCTTTCAGAAAACACTGCGAGATAAGAACTGACGACAGATCCCTTTTNACGCTCATTGACACTGCAGCGTTGATATCTTATCAGTGTGTCCTATTTGTTATTGCAGGTAGAGATCCATGCGAACTACTCTGCAAGGTTAAGAGCACTTTATATCCAAAAGGAGATGTGATAGATGGAACCCGATGCAGTTTGGATAAAAGCAATAAGGATGTTTGTATAGAAGGGAAGTGTAGGGTGAGTGAGTCAATAGGGGACACCTGATCGTTTGACGGAGTGACAACTGCACCAGTGAAGTGATTAGCTTCGAAAATAAGGAGTGCGTTAGCGTAGAAGTCAGTCATTAACCAGTAAATAGTCTAGCATTATAGAAGATTAGTCATCAAATCAATCGATCGATCGATCAATCAATCAGTCAATCAATCAGTCAATCAATCAACCAATCAGCTAAACAGTAGTTAACATGTTCGTCAGTCAGTCAGTGATCAGCCAGTTAGCCAGTCCCCCAGCCGGTCTCTCGGATAGTCAGTAAGTCAGTCAGTATGTCGTTCCGTCAATCAAATGGTCTGTAATTAAGTCAGTCAGTCAGTCATTCAGTCATTCAGTCAGTCAGTCAGTAAGCCAGTCAAACATGCAGTACATTAAGTCAGTCAAGCAGCCAGTCAACAAGTCAGCCAGTCAGTGAGTCAGTCAGTCAGTCAGTCCGTCAGTCAGTCCGTCAGTCGTATAGTAAGTCAGTCTGTCAGTCGGCCAGTCAGTCAGACTGTCAGGTAGTCGGTAAATCGAGCAGTCAATCAGTCGCTTACTCAATCAGTCAGCCAGCTCGCTTGTCAGTCAGCCAACTAACGAGTCAGTAAGTTGACTCAGTGATTGAATCTGCCAGGATGATACTGACGGAGGCAACAGATAGGGCGAGGAGACAAGGCTTCTTTTGGTTTTAAAATAATGCAGTCAAGATGCGAATCTACAGACTCAACATAATAACATAGATAGCAAAAAAAATAAAGCATCTTAAATAAATTGCTCGTTTTCAGGCAAAATTAGCATTTGAACCTTTTTCTAAATTTGTTTCCTTATTTAGCCTGTTGGTTGTGACAATGTCTTGGAATCTGGTGTAAAGGAAGACCGCTGTAAAGTATGCAACGGAGACAGCACAACCTGCAAAATCGTCATGGGCAGAATCCTAAGGCCGTGTGACGGTTAGTGTAAAACAATATAAGATAAGCTTCAATTTCAAGACTATCATAAGATCGTACAATATAGTAAGCAAGTAAACCTTTATTTAAGAAATAGAAAACATGTCACGTGTTTTCATCGAGTTACAGAAGCACGAGTGGAAGTTTGGGAGAACGAGAAATGCCATGGGAACACAAGTCGTAGGCGAGTGTTTCCACAGCTTTTTCGAGTCTCCAAAACTTTCACGAGTGTTTCGATAACTCGATAGAAACACGGAGAACATGTTTTCTATTTCTTTTAGAAAACAACGCGACGAAAAAAAGAAAAAAAAAACTTTTTAATTTGTTCATCAAAATGTAAATTCTCTGTGCTCGCGCCATCATTACGTCAACAGCTCGTGCTAGTTCTGTGTTTCTATCGAGTTATAGAAACACGATTTTTAACCAATCAGCGCGCGCATTTTCTTAGGGCTGTGTTCTAATTTATTATTGTATTTAATTCTTGAAAAATACGATGTTTCATATATTTTCCCATATCTTCATCTTTTCTACTGGTGTGTTGAGAGCTCAATAACTGACCAGCTACCAGTTCATTGAGCACTGCACCGGTATCAAAGAGGGTTCAATGTAAGTTATCCCTTTCAAAATGTGACAGATCTCTTTTATGCTTGGAGTTAAATACAAGCCATCAGTCATAGATAACCAGGAATGGCTTAATACTGCTTACAAATCATTATTCCGAGGAAAAATGGTTTGTAAAAGATCTCAGAGGCTTACGCACACTTAAATAAAAATACAAATAAATAACTTTATTTAGTGTCGAGTGCATTTATCGCTGCTGTGCTAATTGTCCTATTTTCCAGACACTTGTACAATTCTTGACGTCCCCATCGGTGCTACCAATGTGACAGTTTTTGAAGAAGTGGAAGACTGGAATTTTCTGGGTAAACTTTTGTACTTTAATATTTAAGTGTTAGAAAGCAATTGATAGTGAATGCAGGTGCTAATGGTGGTTGTAACTTTTACTACTGTGGTTAAAACCCTACCGTGTGAACGTTCAAATAATAACTGACCAGTGTTTTGATGTGGTATACTAGTTGGTATAATTAAGGTATTAAAGGGCGTTTCAACGTTTGAGTCTTTGGGTCAAATTATAGTGCGTGACCATTCAAATGAAAGCTGCAGAGGACGGGTAGCTATTATGCTGTAAAGGGAGTTACTAACTTTAAAGTCTTTGAATCAAGCCCTATCGTGTGGCTATTCAAATGGAAGTTTTTGAAAAGTTGACCACTCACATGCACTTGACTCTTTTCACACTGAACAAGCGGATTATAACTTTTGAACCTTGTGACCTGTGTAACCTGGACTGAGAGGAATCACTCGAATGGTTATTTACTTTCAAGTGGCTCCGTTTATCATGCTGTACAAGGTGGTTCTCGCCTTGAGCGTACGGATAAAACCTGAGGTGACACTTCCTAATTTATCATCATTTCAAGAGTGGGGACCGATAAATGTTTTCTTTTTTTGTTTTGTTTTGTTTTTGTTTGTTTGCTTGTTTGTTTGTTTGTTTGTTTGTTTGTTTGTTTTTCAATTGAACTATTGACAATAAGCAATTTGTCTCATATATATATTTTTGTATTATCTCGTGACAGGTGTTAAAGATGAAGCAGGAAAAAATGTTTATCCTGTGGGATACACATGGAGCACAACTCGAGAAGCTGCGGGAACCAAAGTCTATTACACTCATGAGAAAAACGAGGACGCTGATAAAGTTTACATTCCGGGCCCGACCAACGAACATCTTTATGTTTACGTAAGACATAAACAGCTGGGATAAAATTTGAATAGAATAAATGGCGGGTTATATAGGAATAAGCCGAGCCCAGGAATAACTAGCGGCTTGAACGACTTGGAGCGAAGTGAAGATATCGACAAGAGGTTGAAGCTTTGTCCGACCTACAAAGATAGTCTTAGAAGAGGAAATAATGGGACTGTTTGGATAAAAAAAACAGCCGAGCTCTATCCTTAAGAGGGGTTGAAAGATGGCCATTTAAACAATAGAGTGTTTCTGTCGAGGAACTATCGGCTGATAGTTGCCCCGCGGAAATTAGATATTCTTAAAACAAACATTTGCCCGAGAAGCGAAGCTCCGAGGGCAAATATGCTTGTTTTGAGAACATCAAATTTCCAAGAGGCAACTATCAGACCGATAGTTCCGAGACATAAACACTATTGTCTTTATTGTTCACCACTAAATTTTCTTCCGTGCACCAGTTCAAAAATCATGTTGAATTATTTGGACCTTTTTTAGATGAAACCTGCGAAAGCCAGATGTAAAATATAAAGAAAAAAAAAAAAGAAAGAATGAAAGAAAGAAACAGGCAAAAACCCACTTAATAAAATTTCAATCGTTTATTTTCTATAAGTCCGCTTGTTTACAGAAAAAAGTTTCCGTACGAGTACTATCCATCGGAGTATTTTCCGCGGACAGGCACCATGGGCTGATAGTAGGGAGCTTAAGAAAACCACGACGGTAAGGGCAACGCCTCTTAATAAAAGGTTAACTGAGGAGAACAATGGCTGTGCACGTGCACTATAATTCTTGGTACATTTTTTTGCCGTCCACTGCAAAACAACAACGTGAAATGACCCAATTCTGCGTTAACTGGAGAACCTGAAAGACGACGGCTGACTTTTTAAATTTTTATTTCGAATTTATCGCTGTGTCCCAGATTCAGTTTCGCGATAGCTTTGACAGTGATAAACAAAGTAAATGACTTAAGGGTAACGCAAGATTCGTAGGTAAAATATAAATTTTTTTAACCGCGTTGTTTCGGCGTCGCCGTCGTGGTTTCTTAAGCTCCCTACTAAGTGCCTCTCCGCGGACGAACACTATTGTGTCACGTGATCAATTTAAACTAAGAATCGGAGAAAATTTAGCGGCGAACTATAATGTCTTTTAAGATACTTAAAAGTATTTTTTCCAGTGTGATTCAGCATCTCAAAGTTCCACACCACTTAATTTTCTTTTTTTCATGTCATAACTCCCAAATAAAAGAAAAAAAATACAAATTATTTTGAAAGCTGTACACGTTATCTGTCAAAGAGGCGTTAAGCTCAATTTAAGCATCATTTTTTGATTATCATTTCTTTGCGTTTACAGTACCTTAAATTTGTGGCCAAACAACCTGTAGATTATTCGCTTAATGAGCCTGTTGGTGACGAGCTCCATCCTACGGCGGGCTCCTCCATGTGGCAAGTATCTGAATGGAGTGCTTGTTCACACGCATGCGCAGGAGGTAAGGAGATCTAACTCTTACTAAGATGTTGACTCAGCAAGACCAACAGAAACTAAAAATTATTTTGATATACATTGTTGCCTATATGCTCATCTAGGCCTGCAAGCAATGTTGCATTGTGCTCACGAACTTTTGACAAGGTATTTTAATTTCGTTGGTGACACAAGCCACTTGGGAAAGGTTTATAGTTCTGCACTAGGTCCTGTAAACGCTTTCCCACTCGAAAGGAACGGTGGTACATGTTTTGATGGAATAATACGAAACATACCAACCAGTCAATACGGCAGTGCACAATTAAGATCAAAACTCGAACCATTAATGATGTCTGTTCCTTTCGTTTATTCTCAGAGTAGCATATGTCACCAGCTTGCATTCTTACCATCATTTCTTTCTTTTCTTTTGATAGTTTTTACAATTTTACGACGCTGTCCATGACGAATTACCTTTAAGAAGTACATTGTTAAAGACTTACAAAATAGAATTTTTGTTTGCAACGGATAGAGAATTTAGGCCGAAATATGTAATATCATAAATTCAAGATCCAACGACAATGAAAAACGACAGCCCCGAGGCAATTATCATGTATGCTATTTTCCCAAAGATGGTTCTAATATGAAGGCATGATTTATCAAAATGTAGATTTGTTGTTAGAATATCACTGGTGCATTAATAGTGTATTTTTTATCAATTTTTCTAAGGAATCAAAACGCGGAAGGTGGAATGCGTGTTGAAAGAGGACTTGTCGTACTTAAATGACGCCGTTTGTGCAAAAATCTCCGCAAAGCCTGCAACACAACAAAATTGTAATACTCAAAGTTGTGCCCCAGCGTAAGTGCATTACATCTTGAGTTGACCAAGAACATCAAATGTACTGCACATATACATGAAGGATATGCACCATTTCTCAAACTCAGGAGAACAATTCATGAAGCCCCTCGGACGTACAATCTAACTCATACCCCCACCGTACAAGGAGGGAGTGGTGGATGGACCCCCCTCTGGCTTTTCTTTCTGTTAAGGCGAAGCGAAATAAATTTATTTTGATTAGATAACCCTGAGCTTGCTCTAGAAGATGATACAATTTTTGTTAGTTATGACGTCATTTGACCCGCCATCTTGGATCGCCATCTTGGATCGCCATCTTGGAGTTTACTATTTTCTTAAAAGTCAAGAAATAACGAAAATTAACACAAAATCAAGCCACATACCTTATAAAATGTACAAACTCATGAATTTCTGTAATTTGATGAAGAAAACTGGAAAAAAACCACAGAGTTATCTTAAAACAATTACATTTGACCTGACGTACATGAAAGTTCTTTTACTTTAAGAAAATATTCCATTGTATCTCGTAGATGTTGTAAAACATGGTCTCTCGTGTTTGACATACTACCGATTCAGAAAGACCGAGCGATCAAACACGCGTTTCATTCGTTTGACTACAAACTTGAAACCCCAAAAAAAGCCAGTGAAGATTAGTGGAATACTTTTGTACACGTTATCTGAAAAATCTTTCAGATGCCAATGGACATTTTTGACACGACAAATTATTTCATGCAGGCGGGAAACAATCTCATACTCGCTCTCTTTTTAGTTGGTATGTCTCTGGCTGGCGTCCATGTTCAAGAACCTGTGGAAAAGGTGTCCAAACACGCCAGGTTGTATGCCGCCAAGAAGTGTCCAGAGGAAAATACAAAACGGTATCCGACTCAAAGTGCAGCGGAGCAAAACCGACTGATCCCAAATCACAAGACTGCAACAAGATAGACTGTCCAGCGGAGTATGTTCCAGGAGCTTGGTCAAAGGTAACCACGTCGTAACAATCAAATGCTTCATGTAGCCGCAGTTTGAATCTGAACAGCGCATGAGGAGAGGGAAATAAAACGAACAGCGGAGGTTAAGAAGACGGTTAAATTGGTGGGAAGAGTGGGAGGGAGGATTCGTGAGAGACTCCTGTCTTTAATCCTTCCATCGTACCCCGCGCACTACACTTTTGTTTTGTTTTTTTTTTATTTTATCTTATTTTTTGTCTTCTTTTCGTCTAGCTTTCTTTTTTTTTCTTCATTTTAATTGCGATTCACACTATTTAGCGCCATTGATATAATTACAACACTTGCATGGCTATTTACACAATTTACAACTGTAATACAACTGATTAACCCTGCTACAATACTAATACGTGTACAATCCCTTGCATTGCTAACAAAAAAACCTGTTATAGGATGCGATTACTTACACACTACTTACACCACTTACTATAGGATACGATTACAGATGCTACTTACAGTATTACAACTTACACTAGTTACTCTACAATACAATACGATTACTTATCCTACCTGCGATACTAATACTTACACCGCTAACAATATAATACGATTACTGATGCTTCTTGCAAATAATTATAAATATAGCTTTACGTTCAGGTCCAAGAGGTATATCTATATATTCATATGAATGCTTCCTTCTTGCCTTCTCTCCTCACGGGAAAGAAAACTATATTAATCAATAACAATTTTACTTATTTTCTTTTCCAGTGTTCCACTACATGTGAGAAGGGCACCAGAACGAGGACAAAATCGTGTCAGCAGTTGAAGGAGACTAGTGTGTTCCAGTCTGTTCCGGACGTCATGTGTGCCACCGCAATTGTTCCACCTCAAAAAGAAGCCTGCAATCAGGATGCACTTTGCCCAGGTTCTACGACTAACCTTTGACTTTAAACAACGCGGCTGTGATAATTTAATGATTATTGGCGACAAGCTTCACCTTTAGCCGTATTAGATTAGGTGATTCTGTGATTACTCGGTTGTTTGCGTAAATATTTGAGAAGTGCTTCAGATTCTAAGAATCTAAAGCCCTGGCTTAACGGAATCGCAAGTAGACCAAAAACTTTGTTCTGTTGTACTTACGAATCCGTTTGACTAGGCGTTGCGTGCACTTGCGTAGACTTGCGATGACTAGTTACGCTCACTACAATCAAAATTGCGCGCAAGTCGACGCAATTCTTTTTTTTTACCGTTTGACCACGGAAACAATGAGTAAACGCAAGTTGATTGACGTTTATCCGTTGTTGTAGTAGCCTATTAGCCAATGACATGCAGGACATGTAACCTTGAAATGGTTTTTTATGCATCTTGCGTGTACTTGTTTGGCCACACAACGCAAGTCTCTACGCACGTTCAACCTGCGGCTAATTGCGACTACTTGGAACTCCGTTGGCCAGGGCTTAAGAGAATGACTCTCCATTCCTCAGCTCCTTGTGGCACATATGTGTGTCAACATTTGAACCAGTTAGGCTTAACCAGTCTGTCTCCCTATTGTCTTCAGATAGATTACAGGATTTCGGAAAAGACAAATGTATGGGTAATCAGTCTTTTAGATCATCTTGTCTTGAAGCCGACACAAACAACGTTGTGTTAAGCTAAGAGATTTCTTCTTATTTCAGTTCTTACCAAGTTAATAGGCCTTATCACGGCTTTCGACGCCATCTTGGAGGGTAGGCAAAACAGTCAGAAATTACAGTGTTTGTATGGGAGTCCCATTTTACACAATTTGTGAATCGCAACGTTAAAATACTAGGTAGAAAATTGCATCCACCAAGTTTGAAGGGTGTAGCTAAACTACAAGACGCTCAGTTAATTAATTTACAATACATTTGTCCATATTTTTTCCTTCGAACCGCGTCTACCCGGCAGAATTTAGAAAAATTAACTGTGCGTCGTCTAACCATGCTACATCCTTCACACTTGATAAATATAATCTTCTACCTAGTATTTTAACGTTGCGATTCACAAATTGTGTAAAATTCAATTTTGGAAAAGGTTATTTGCCATCGGATTCCCATACAAACTCTTTAATTTCTGACCGCTTTGCCTGCCCGTCAAGATGGCGTCGAAAAGCGTGAAAAGGCCTATTATTTAGCCAGCTCTCGTTTTGAAAGCCTCTTTTTTTTCCGGTTCAGGTAATCGTCAGTATGTGCCATTGGGATGTTACCGAGACAAATCAGAGAATAAAGCTCTTCCAATACAAGTCAAAAATTTTAGAGGCAAGGGAATCAACTGGAACGACATGTCCCAGACCATAAAGAAATGTGCCATTGCCACAGCCGAGAAAGATCCCAAACTGTATGTGTTTGCTCTACAGTTCTACGGAGAATGCTACTCTGGTTACAATGGTCTACAAACATACTCCAAGTACGGCAAGATGCCATACAGTGATGACAATGACAAATACTGTTGGTCGGGAGTAGGGAAAGCTGGCTTCAACTTTGTGTACAAGTTTGAGAACTAAAATGGTGAGATTCTAAGCATAAAACGGATTTATTTCCAGTAACGATAACGTTTCAAACTTGTTTTTATTGTTTGTTGATATTTTAAATACCCACATAGTCACCCTTTCCACTGGTGCATATTAAATTTAGGGTTCGTACTCTGTTTTTGGACTAAAAATTTAAAGCTTTTCAAAAAGTTGAACCCCTTCAAGGTGACTAAAGGTTGCTCCCCTTCGGTATGTACGCCGTATTTATTTAATCAAACGTGAAGGCCATGCTGAACAGATTAGGGAGTTTAAGTAACTACGACGAGGACGAGGACGCCGACGCCGACGCCGACGCCGACGCCGACGCCGAGAACAGCGTCGATTTAAAAATGACTTTCTATTTTATCTACGAATCTTGCGATCCTTTTTTAAAAGTCATTTAGTTTGTTTCTCGAAACTAAACGTGGAACCCAACGTAAAATTCGAAATGTAGATTTTAGAAATTATCCGTTGGGGTTCACGTTCTTCAGAAAACTCAGACTTTGTGGTTTTCTGCAAAGAAATGCACCAAGATTTACAACGCACGTGCACAGCCATTGTGCTTGTCATCAAACCTTTTGTTTAGTAACGTTCCCTTTGCTGTTGTGGTTTTCTTAAACTCCTTAGTATAAGCTCACGGTATTGACGGCAGAAATCGAACATAGGAAGGTTTAAGCAGTGAGGTCTGTATCAAAACAAGGTCAACTGCAGCCTCGCTGCCATCCAAAGGCCAGGTCACCGAGCAGACAACTGTTAAATGGCCTATTGGGATTGGCCGATTTATTAATGAGTCGTAAACCCCCTGCGCTGTCTTAGTCGTGTGATTAATATCTGTATTGTATTGTTACATTTCGACTCTCCGTCATTACAATACACATTAAAATTATTTGTCTCGTCTTTTTGGATTGTCAGGATGAGTTGCAAAGGAACACTGCCCCGGACAGAGATGCATAGGAACAGGCACAGTAGAAAAAAATAATAATAATGCACAAAAAATGTTATCATGTAACGTATACTAAAAGATAACTTAACTTTTAACTGTAATTACAACTACTTTCCTTCGTTTGCAAAATAATACGGTGACCTTGTATTAGACTTAAACCTGAGTGATACATTAAACATTTTAAACCAGCAAGACCTGTCGACTTGTGTTGTTGTAGTTGTGGATTGTGAGTATGATTAGCTTATGGAGAGTCATGAAGTGATTGATTCGCTCACGAGCAATTAACAGTTTTGCTTCTGAGCTTAAAAGGTTCGAAAGCTTAAAAACTGTATCTATCAAAACAAATATCCAGTTCAAGATGATAAATACAACTTCCATGATTCCCTGCAGGCATGTATCATTCAGGGAATAGAAAATCAGGCTGCATTGTTCTAAAAAATTGTGCTATGCGCATGAATAGATTAATCAATAACTGGGAAAAGAGTTGCCATGAAAATTAACTGGACACCACGCATCTGTTTCAGGAGATGGCTATGAGTCTTCAGACATTTTTCTTTATGTAAGGAATAGATAAACCGAAATATAAAAGATTATAAAAGTTAGCCAGCTAAAATAAATTTAACCGTCGAGATTACATGTAAATTCACGTCATTTCAATTAGTGCATTGTTCCTTTGTTCCTGCGCCGAATTTGTAACTCTTTATTCCCCGTTAGCCACTAAGGGTTATGTAATACTTATTCTGATACACACTATAGCTCCTCTTTGGTCGATTCGCTATTGTCTCTAAAACATCGAAGATAAAATTTTGGGAACATTTCTTTTTCTGTCATGATCTTCTCTATAAACAGCTGCCGACTTTGTCAACACTGATGATTCGCGTCACTCACCCTCTCCTAAGTATGTTTGGTTTAATTCGTCTTTTACCCTGCCATATTCTTCTTTCTTGGTTTGGATTAGTTTCGTTTATATCAGGTAAGAGAGAAAAACAGATAATGTTATATATATTAGTGTTATAGGAGATATCCTCATAGTTCACAAAATGCAATCCATGAAAGTTTTCGGGACGTTAAAAGATTGGTGTGAAATTTATATAAATAATAACTTCCCTCGCTCTTCAGCTTGAAAGATTTCCTTTCTTAAGACCTTCAGAAACCGGATACATTTTAACGCAGGAATAAAATGTATAACAAGGAAGATATGTCTTCTCGATTATCTTGTTAGGCTAGGAAAATACGATCATTTATCCTTCAGTAAATAATGAACTGACAAACGCAGCGATTCTTTTTTCCTCGAGCCTACTGACTAAATACAGTTTCACACATCAAAAAGAAAGAAAAATATATATTTTAACGGAGTTTTTGTTCAGTTAGACAATTTCAATCGTTCATCATTTATAAACAACAAATTGACAAACGCTGGTGAAAGGTTAACAGCGGGAAGGTGCAAAAGCGGAAAATCAAACAAAACATGTTGCACTTGTTTACCTTTTGTCTATTAGGATTATCCGGGGTAGCCCTGGCGTTAAGGTAACAATATAATGAACACTTATCGCATAAAAACTTATGCTCGGTCAAGTACGTTAGTTGGAAAGAATTATTTCACGAATTCGGCTGATCCATGATCAAAAAGTTTAATTAACTGTCAAAGACATCAGTATTACAATCAACTTTTGAGGTTGGCTTTCGTTTACATTTAATTTTTGCTTCTTGTCTCTAGATTGTCTTTACAATATTCATTTCTGTGGTTAGTTCTTATTCATAATTTTAATTCACAGTGATTCCGTTGTCCGGCAATTTTCATAAACTCAAAATGCCATTTACTTAAGTACACAACTTTTCTTTGTCAAAAATTGCAATCCGCTTGGTCGCAAACTCTTCCGAGAGGAAAAGAAAAGAAAAAAACCTGTTCTTGGCAAATGCACTTAAGCATGAATTTTTCGGGGAATTATTAAGTCAGCTTTTGTCAACAAACAACTGACATTTTCTGTGTGAATTCAAACTACTAAAGAGTAAATATTGACAAATATGCCCTTCTAAAAAAAATAGCCTGTGTAAGAAATAACATAGAATGTACAATTTCTGAAATAAAATCATATCAAAATTATTAATTGGCAGTCAATAAAGTCGCTGTGGACAGGTAAGCCACCGAGTTCTTCATCTTTTTTTTGAAATGTGTTATTCTTTTCATTCCATGCAAAATTGAAAAAAGAACGTGATCATTCTGTGTGACAAACAATTTATACATTTTGTCAGACTAGTCTAATTTTCATTGTAGTTCTTCCGTTAACAAACACAAATAGCATCTGCCTTTTTCACACCCGACAAAAATCCTGGCTTTCTTCAATTACTTGCCGCAACCTTAAAGTCTCCTCGGATTACAAAAAACGGAGTTCACTTCCTGCAGAAAATAAGGTAACTTATTTCTGGTACAGCTCTTTGTATTTAATAATTAACTATTCTTGAGTAATGTACAGATTTTTAATTATCTTAATGCGGGTTTGCTCAGCTAAAGGCCCCAGCTTTCAAGTCAGCCTCCTGCATCAATAATATTGAACTTAACTACAACTGGGGAAATCATGGAAATTCAGAGGTCAAGAAAATTCGATTAACCTGAAAGAAAACTGGCAATAGCTCTTGGTAGTATTTATATGCTGACTGGTTTTTTAACGAAACTTAGGAAAGGACCAAATTTCTTACACTCAACATGGTATTTTCTCGTTCAAATCTCTGGGAAATTTTATTGACCTCTGCCAAAACAAATCTGCTTTGGACCTACGCTTAATACCCATTAAAAAAGGACACTTGAACTGTTTAGTATCTATGCCTTCTAAATCGCTGGAAGCTCAGTTTGTTGCGTAAATAGTTGTTGTTGGTATTTTTGCTGGAAACAAAACATTGCAATTTACATTATTATGTTAAAGCAAGCTTCAGGGTCGCTTCAGAAAGGATTTTTTAGCCTTGAGGTGCCCCGTTCGACTGCCCATCATGCAGTTTTATTTTTTACTGGTTCTCAAAACCAAAAGGCTCAAAGCAATTTATAATGGAGTGCTTTCGTTTCTAGATTTAAAAGAGAAGTAGTTTATAGGATTATGAACTTTGTTGTCAATTAAGGTTGTTTGATGAAAGCATTCCATAATCTTGTGCACGTCGACCTTTACCACTTGTATATAGTAGCATTTCGTTTTGCTGTTCTGTTTCATTATAGCAAAACAAAAGCACGGAAATGAAGCTAGGTTAAGGCAATTTTCCTCAAGGTCCAAAACTTGTATCATGAATTAACTAAGTGCCGAATAGTTTTTCCTCACTTTGTAATATAACATAATTGAATTGCTGTGGGGCATGTGAAGGTAAAGGCCACATGTTGTTGTTACATCACTCCCTGTTGTGATCAATGTTTTCAATTTTTGTATTCTTCCATCATCGCCCTTAATTTACGAATAGAAAATCAGATCTATTTGTTCTCTTTACCTGAAAAAGAAACTTTGCTCTGTGTCAGCTAGCAGGGCAGCAATATTTTCTTTATGCTTTGGAAAGCATTAGAGAGAAAAAAAAGTGTGTTTTCCTTCCTTTTCAGCTTCTGCAATAAAAAATGCCTTCTTTGATTTCAATTCTACTACCGCTGGTTATTGTTCTCAGCATCGCAGCCACAGGTATAGAAATTAATAAATCAATGTTTTCTTTGTCTGTTTGCTTCTTGCTAAGTAAGCTGTTATTTCACATCACGTTTAATTTAATTCCCTTTTTAGAGTTGCTTGCATCTCCCAGCAATCAAAAAGTAAGTGTCAAAAACGTATACGTAACCGTTTTATAGATACAGTTTGTAACCGTCACATTAATTAAGGGTATTTTGAAGGATAAGATTATTTCTTAATTGATAATAGTTAATAGTAATAATAATAATAATAACAATAATTAATAGATTTTTTTCACTGCGTTAGAGACCTTTGCTTCACCATCGAATGACAAAGAGGGAGCTATCAAAATATTTTGGGGCAACTTCTCTAGCTGAAGGTTTGTGCTTATTTTTGATCGTCCTGTTTTTACCTTTTCTCAAGACAAATAAAATGTTTGCCTGTTGCGTACGTTGCGAAATATCACGAGTCCTGCAGCAGCAAGGAACCAAAAATAGCCGGTCCCATTGGAACTTTGTGTTTCTCTATCTCACAGTTACATCTTTATAGTTTGTTTAGTATAGGTAGTCATACGGTTTCGAGTTCAATTTGGAATTAATTTGCACGAGTGAGTTTTTCAAAAAGCTGAAATTGCACGAGCCGCTTCGGCGANGTGTAATTTCAGCTTTTTGAAAAACTCACAAGTGCAAATTAACTCCAAATTGAACGAGAAAAACCGTATGATTACTTATTAATATTATAAACATGAAAAAATTCGCGCGGAGGAAGTGCCGGAAGATCTTTCTTGAAGCCATTTTTCCTCATTTGAGAAAACTTTTTTCAAAGTTTCAGCACAAAATTTTCGTCATCATTTTACGTAATATCATTTTCTTAGAAACGTTCCTATTTTCTTCCAGTCAATCATAATCCAGAATTTCGATGTGTAATTTACACTGGTGTTATACTTTTTGCACTGATGTTACACTTTTTGCACTGGTGTTACACTTGAACTGCACTGCTCTTAGCCAATCAGAATCGAGTAATTTTTTCATGTGTATTGTTAAGGCAGAAACAAAGTTCATGCCGTTTCCATCGCACTCTATATAAAGTGAAATTTACCAGATACTCGTTTAAATAAGATGCACGAGTGAAGATTTGGAAACCGGTCTCATCTCCTATTTGTCATTCAGTTTAATTTACCAAACTTACTATCATGTTTTGCGTCTAAGAGCCGGCACTGTTGTAATTGTGATGGTTATTTGTCGATTGATTGGCTGGTTGGTTGGTTCTTTGTTTGCTTGCTCAATTTCTACGACTCTGTCTGTATGTTTGTATGTCTCTATGTCTCTATGTCTCTATGTCTCCATGTCTCAATGTCTCTATGTCTCTATGTCTCTATGTCTCTATGTTATATGTCTCTGTGTCTCTTTGTCTCTATGTCTCTGTCTCTCTATGTCTCTATGTCTTCGTGTCTGTTTATCTTTTCGTTTGCCTGCTTTTTGTTTGCCTGCTTTTTTCCTTCCCTTAGTCCCGGAATATGAGGTGACCTCGCCATTCCAAGCAGATGATGCCGGACAGTTCATCACACATGAGCTTCACAAGCGTAGTCGTACAAAACGAAGCACATCTCAACCCGACTCCTGGTTTTACAAAATGGACGCCTTCGGGTTCTCACTTCATTTAAACGTCACCAAAGCTAAACATCTTCTAGCTCCAGGATCCATTGTGGAGACCACACATGAAAATGGCAGTAAATCGTACACCTCGCTACCCAAGAACACTTTTTATAGTGGTCACGTGGTTTCACATCCGGGCTCCGTTGCTGCTATTAGCAACCAAGGTGGATTGGTTAGTAATAATGTCAGAGGTTTGCTGCAAATTTTATCTAGTTATGGAGCATTACTTGCTAAACTTTCTGCATCGGTTAGCGGACAGACAACTTTGTTTCAACTTGTTTCGCGGTATTAATCAGTTCTTTAGAAGTTCACCATTATGGAGTTATAATTATGTTTAACAAATTTGGCCTTTTAAGCGTCTGCTCTGAAGACGAACTTAAAAGGTGCGTTAGCACATTTAAGCCCAAAATTAATCGACGAGATTAAGCATTGAAGTCACAGTTCTTCCTCCATAGCGAAGAAAATAAATGCATACGTATGCAAGCAAATTGCTGGATCAAAAGGATAAAATTAAACGTTTCAGGGTGCCGCGCATTGCAATTCTTGAAATTGCATAGTAATCGCAAATCGCCAATGTGTGTGTGTGTTTGTTAACTCTTCAGACTGGCATGATTAGCCTCATGGAACAGGCGCTTTTTATCCATCCTTTACCGAGCCATCTCGCACAGGATTATGGGTCAATCGATGGAGGCCAACCCCATTTAATCTATAGACGGTCATTGCATGACATCATTGGACAGGGTTGTGACGTCTCAGGTGAGATAACCTCTTATGAATTTCACTAGCGCGCTAGAAAAGTGCAAAATGTATGTGAATAGCTAGTTTTCTATATCCAAGAGTGTTTGCTCTAATGTAAACACTTGTCACAAGCCAAGATAGGTGATATTCCAGGAGTGCATGATACGAACTCGCTTGAAAAGGCTTTCTTCTAAAGGAAATGTAGCAATTTAATAGGATAGTATTGAAAAAGATTTGAAAATGTGTTATCGTCAATTTCTGCTAAAGATCCTGACCTCAACCGAAATGGTCCAAACAACTGCAAATTAAACCAATCAACTAATTTTCGTATTGAGAAATTAACATTGGATATATCTTAATTTCAAGTAAAAGAAAACAGATCTTAAACAGATCAGAAAAGATCTTATTGTAATGGTATAAGGGAATGAAGGTAAATATAGCCTCAAAACGCATTTATTCATAATGATTAAGAATGGTATCTAATATATAGATTTAGGCCAGCCTAAAAGCGTAGCTCTGGGCCGGGTTGTTCAGAGCCCGATAAAGCTAACCCAGAAAAAGGTAGAATTTTGATTTGAGTTTTGTAACTTTGCGGAGAGGTTTTCTGTATATTGTTTGGCCTTCTGTTTTGAGTTTTAAAAATCACCATATACACGAAACAAAGCATCAAAAAACATTTGTATAGAAGAAAAAGTTATAATTCGGTTAACTTTTAATCCTGGGTTAGCGTCAACCGGCTTCCGAACAATACTGGTCTGTTTTCAACAAGTTAACCTAACATGAACCCGCGATCCAATCGAAAACCAGCACTTGGTCAGCGATCAACTTTAATGACCTTTAAACTTGAGCTTGCGATATGGTTACGTGATGCTGGTCAGCGGATACCTTGTTTTGACAGGTGTCAATTGATCATAACATGTATGTCCAATATCAAAGAAGTACGCGGTAAACCAAGGCTGCATGTCTCTGTCAACCTATTATTTGGAGTATGGCCGCCATGTTGCGCGAAATCGCCGTCGCCGTCGGGCGTACGCGCCCACGAGTAATACCGCTAGCCATGATAACCATGAGAAAATCAACTCATGGGTTTCCTTTTCTTTCCTATATGAGTATGGGGCTCCGCTTGGCGGCCCTTCGGGCCGCCGGAGCTCCGCTATAATTTTACTCAATAACTAATGAGCAATTAAAAAAATAACTCTAGTTCTAATGAGTTTCAATTAGAACGAGGAATCACACCATCATCCGTGTATCCTAGAAGACATGCATACAATATAAATTCTTGCATTAAACACTTTTTTTTTATTGTACGCAATTAATATTCCATACCTCTTGATTGTTTTTTCTTTTTTTTCGGTTTCAGATGTTCCCGAGCGCACCAAACGGAGTCTGGAACCGAACAGAAATAAGCGATCACGCGACGAACGTTCCACGTCTCACAAACACTTGGAGGTTGCCATGGTAGCGGATGACATGGTAGTTAAGACACACGGAGAAGAAAACTTGAGGATGTATTTACTCATGCTAGCTCACCTGGTAAAGAAGCTTCACGATTGGAACTATCAACTATTGCATCACGCTTCTGCTTCCACCTTTAATTGGATTGTTCCCACTGATTAATATTCTTATTTGTTTAATCACTCTCTCTAATTCTCAATTGTCAGGTGGACAACATGTTTCACGACGAGAGTGTAGGAGAAAAGAAGCTCACGTTGGTAGTAGTAAAAGTTTTCATCAGGAAAGACGGGGTAAGGTTGAAAAAGTTATTGATCATAGTTGATGTCCTCCATCAGTCGGTCTGTCTCTGTCAATCGGTCGATCAGTCGGTCGGTTTGTCGGTCGGTCGGTCGGTCGGTAAGTCAATTGATCCATTAATCGATCGTCCATTTGGTTGATCCATCCGTCGCTTGATGGATTGATTGACTTTTATTTGTCATCTTTTCAGCTGGGTTACAACTCGTCAGCTAACAATCGACAAAGACTAGAGAAGCTATCAGCCTGGGGAGAAGCGAATATGCCACAATCAGACAAAGATCCTGGGCATGCGGACTTGATTATTTTGCTGACAGGGTGATGTACCGTTCTTAATTTTTTGCACGATAAGTTTACCTAATATATAGATTTTGCCAGGCCTAAAAGCGGAACTCCTGAGCCGGGTTGTTCAAAGCCCGAATAAGCTAACCTAAGATGAGCGAGAATTCTAATTTAAGTTTTGCAACCGTTTGCGGTGAAGTTTTCTGTATGTTGGTTGGCCTTCTGTTTTGACTTTGAATAGTCCCAAAGTACACAAAACAAAAGCAATGAAAAACATTTTTTTACAATAACTGTCTAATTTCTCGCGCGCTGATTGGCTCATTTTTATCGTCAATATGAGTACAGACGGCTAAAATTTTAATATATACAAACTTTTAAGTTCAACTTTCAGCTGTCAAACTGTCAACTTTCTAACCAATGAAATTTTATGGACTTTGCACGCCAATCAAACAGCGAGAAAAGCTATTAAAACTGTTCGCGTCATTTTGAATAAAATTCACTTATCTTTGTTTAGGGCAAGTTTACGTCGTCTTTTCTCCTCAACTATTCCCGGCATTAGACTATTTTGGGATCTTGTTATTGTAAAAACAAATTGACGTCAGTTTTTTATGCGTCTGTCCTCTTATTAATGATAAATTTCGTCATAACATTGTCAAAGTGGCTGGGGAACCACAAGCCGCAATTCCGCAGTCAATTTGTTAAGTATACAAGAAAAATTTATACTTCGGCTGACTTTTAATCCTGGGTAAGCGTTAAAAACTAGCAGCCCATAGAGCCCCGACAGAAGAACTCTTTTGTATGTTAGCGCACAGTGGCTGGAAGTCATCCACAAAATGACATTTTCTCGTTTTCCCGAAATTCCACATCAACGGTTAGAAACATGGTCAATTATATTTCTGAGAATAGCAAATGAAGGACATTCGCCGTTAGTCGACCTTAAGAACTCGAAATAGATGTTATTACAATTTAGTCTGCGATCAAATATTCGTTTGTTTCAAAAGGCATAAAAACGAGGAGAACGGGTCGATGGAAAGCAAAACTGACTCTTTCTCTTCGATTCTATGTCAAACCGCCGATAACTGTAATAACAGCTATTGCACACGTACACGTCTGCAAGTTTCAAACAACAATTCAGTGCGCGCGTGATTTTGCTAAGCCCATAATGCTGAATGCTACTTAACTGATTTAAAGAAATAATTGGAAATCTTGATTTTCAACAAAATTTAGCCTTTTGCTTTATTAACTATCGCTTCACTAAAACCCTCGAGCTTCTAGCCGAATTGTTGAATAGGAGTACCTCTTTTGGGACGCGTTTCCTTACAGGGTGTTTTTTTTGTTTGTTTTTTAATTAACATGACCTATTCAATTAACTAAAATTGAGTCAGAAGTATGCGAGTAATTGACTGGTTAGTACTCGTCCTTACAAAATTTAAGTGTGCTGATTTTAATGATCTGTTTCTGTTTACCAGGCAAGGCTTTGGAGGTAGGGGTTTTTCCTTGTTTTAGTTGATATGGTAACTTAAAGAAACAGTCTATCACGAAAAGATGACAGAAATAAAAATTATTAAACATGTTTAGCAGTTTTCTTTACCTTTTTTTGCCATATGCAATGTTTACCTGAACACAAGAAATGATTTTTACACAACTTCAACTTCAGAGTTAATTTACATTAGTATTATAAAAAAAAATTACAAGTTGGCAGTTTTCACTACCGTTATATATGGAATATATTTTGTTAAAATTTTATTTATACGTGCATCCTCTTTATGGTTGTTACAAAGTTAAAACTAGTTTAGGCTTTTGCCGCCACTGGTTTGGCCACTGTAAAATGGCATGTTTCCGTCTATCATTTTGATTGATTTGCAGGTTTAGCCATGATGGGTTCCACATGCGCAACAAAGTTTGGCAGAACTGTTAACAATGACATTGGGATGGCGTCCGCTATCATCATCGCTCATGAAGCAGCGCACACGTGAGTCACGAAAGTAACATTCGAGAGAGAGCCAGCATTACTCAGTATTACATACCCCCAGTCATACAGTATACACTGGCAGACAAACATCACAGCATCAATTGAAAGGGGGAGATCGAGAGAATAAAGACAAGGGGAAGGATTGGGGAAAGGGAGCCTTCAAAGCATTACTCAAGCGCAAGTAATTGTGTCTCCAATGTGATTGAGAAATTTTAAATTGAACCCAGTTATAGGATTTGGTTCTTCTATCCAGCAGAAGATATAAAAGATAATAATCCAGGAGAAACTATGCGGTATAGGTTCATTGCCGAAGATGTTTGAAATGATCTATTTTTTGACAAGAATTAGTGAACAAATAGTATAACTGTATCATCCTGTATGGTAATACTTATGTTATTTGACCACACGCAACCATTCAATGCACTTATCTCCTCGTGTAGATTTGGCCTTGGACATGATGGCGGAGGTGAGCGGTGTAACAACGGCGAGTACATAATGGCCAGTGTTGTGAGCGATGGCAAAAATGCATTCAAGTGGTCACCTTGTAGCAGTAATCGTATGCAAGAATTCCTCACGTGAGTAATTGTTAAAACATAATTATTATTTAGTTGGTTGATTACTCAGTACCTAGCTATTAATCAACCTAAAGTCGATAAAGGTAATGAAGCTGACGAGCGTTAGCCCTTCGTCAGAGGAAAGCTGAACAGTTATCACCATTTTGCTTTTTTATAAATCACCTCAGACTGTCCACAGTCCCCTATTTTTCCGTGAGATCGTAGATGTCAATCATTGAGCTGGACGGGCAACCATCTTAGTCTCTTGATGCGAGTGAAACTGAGGAGAGTACAAAATGCCCGTGGGTAGAGGTGGTAGGGTTAATAGCACCCCTACCCACGCTGACAGGTATTGCGTACTCTCTCCATTGTCGCTTGCATTAAGTGACCAAGATGGCGGCCCGTCGAGCTCAACGATCGATATCTACGATCTCACGCAAAAATAAGGGACCGTGGACAGTCTGAAATCACCTACAAAGTACGAACATCTAGTTTATAGTACATAATATAGTGGAGAGAGGAGGAGACAAAAAGTATAAGATGCCTTCGTTCCATGCTGGCCGAATGTAGACCCCTCGTTATTATAATACAAACACCTCCTTATGATTACTTTTTATGAACAGAGCATTCGGTCCTGGGGACACTATAAACTTTATTCATTTAGTATGACAACTTACGTATCTAGCCATACAAGTCCTCTAGAGGTCAGTATGTTTGCATCAAATGTCATAAATTGAAGTCGAAAACTTAACGGAAATATATATTTTTTAGGTTCGAGTATTTTTGAGCCACTGAATGAGAAACATAGCTTTTGAGACGCCTTGCGCCTTTCAGAAGATTCAAAAAGTGCTGGCTGAGAAAACACTAGAACAAACAACAGAAATCATTAACACAATAGCCTGGGTGCGCGATACCAGGAGCGAATGGAATTACAGGTTCTGTACAGTTGCGTGGAAAACAGCGTTAAGAAGTTCTCTGTAACAATTTTTCACACTGTTTGGTTTTAGTGGTTCCGGTTCATCCTGTTTGGATGACAACCCTCATGACTTCATCCAAGAGCCCAGCATCTTCCACAATAAGCTTCCTGGACAGATCCAGAATGCTAAACTACAGTGTAGTCTGCAGTATGGCTCAGAGTATTTTCAATGTCCACAGAGAAAAGTAGGTCAAGTTTGTTTTATTCCAGTTGCCCGCTAAACTTAATTTATGTTCCATGCACGATGGAAAGTAACAACAGTGTTCAAAATATGTGTAAACCAACTTTATAAATACGTCTAGTCTTAATACGTTTCTATCGTGAGTGGTAAGGAATTCCTTCGATATATACAATTCTCACATTAAAAAGACTGTACTACTGTTCTTGATGGCAAGTGACTCCATGGGCTGAGACTACAAACATTTATTCCTGATGACCTCAGTTCCAGTCTTGAAAAACATAACCAATGCCCAAAGCAAGTCAATGTAGAGAAATTTATACGCTATTTTATGGTTAACTGGTGGTAGTCTTGGGATGGAGCCGTCGAGGTTTGAGCCCTGGCCGGGTCACTTGCGTTGTGTTCTTAGAGAAGACACTTTACTCTCACATTGCCTTCTTCCACCCAGGTGTATAAATGGGTACCAGGCTAGCGAAGTAAGTTCTGAGGTAACCCGATGGATGGAGTAGCATTCCATCCAGGGGGAGAAGAACTGCTCCTAGTGGCTTGACGCTACAGAAACCTGCATAGGCTCCAGCGGTATGGACCACTTAGCCTGGCGCAGACTTGAACTTACCTTAAATGAAATTAAGACAAAGTCAGCAAAAATGCATAATAAATGAAGCATGTAAAGCGCCTGTCGTCGTTGTTGTTGTTGTTGTCGTTTTTCTTAGGCTGACTGTGGCTCTTTGTACTGCACCAACGATGGTTATAAATGCAAGAGCTATGGAGCGCCACCTATGGATGGCACAAGATGCGGCGACCGACATGTGAGTAAATTTGGCAATATTTGACGCTTTTGGAAGGTTATTAAAACTTTACTTTCTCTTGATATTTTCATTTTATTGTGACAAGTGAGCCTGAATGTTGCTTTGCAATGCCCATAGAGTTTCATGTACTTAGTAGAAAACATGATATCTTTCGGAATCATTTAGAGCATTTCATGGAAACGATACGAAGCCCGAGCAAACGCTCTTGGAGCGTAAGTTTCATTGACAAAGGGCTAATTAATGTTAATAAAAAACCGAAAGTTTTTCGTTCTTTGAAGTGGTGCATCCAAGGTGAATGTGTGGATGATGGATCCCCGATGATTGACGGAGGATGGAGTGATTGGCAGGACACACAGTCGTGCACTCAAACTTGCGGTGGAGGCGTTCAGTGGAAAACAAGATCATGCACCAACCCGGTGTAAGATTAATTTTTTTATCATATAAACACCAATAAAATATTAGGTGAGCATGATATCTTCGCGCGTGAAAAAAACATGTTATTTTCATGAAATGTAGCCTGAGTGCATTCGCCCCTTCCCGTCAAATAAATCCCTCTCCTCGATTTTTTTGTTAGGGAAGGTGGCGGATGTACACGGACTTCGTGAAAAGATCACCGTTGCTATGATTAGAGAAATTTCGAAGAGAAATTTCAAAGAGAAGTTTCGAAGAGAAACTTCGAATAAAAATTTCGAAGACAAATTTGGAAGTGTAATTTCGAAGAGAAGTTTCGCGCGCGTTGCGCGCGCTGCCATGTAATATCCCCTATGTCAGAAAATCGATCACGCTAGTGTTCTTTGTAAATAATTAAGCTCTTGTATAGGTGAAGATCTTTTTCTTTCAAACAGTTAAATAATGGCCTCAATAACCAATAATAAAACATGGTGTTATATTAAAAGGACAAATTTACAGTCTTGAGTCCTTTCTTTTCAAGAACAATGCTCTCTTTTAATATATGTAACCGATACGAAATTTAATTTTCATTTACTGTACAGGCCGCAAAATGGTGGAAAATTCTGTGAGGGATCAGATAAAGGATTTTGGTCAATGTGCAATACACAGGTAAGACTAAACTATCTGCACTTATCAAGGATAGAGTTGTCATTTCTAATCTATACTGTGCTATAGTGGTTTTTTTTTTTTTTTTTGATATTCTTCCTTTTCGCGATTTTCATTACTATGAGTCTTCTGTGCTGCTGTGTTCAGTAATTCTTTAGGAGCTGTTTTAACTAAAAAACAAACTTTTCTGCTCTGTTTGTTTTCCCACAGCCTTGCCCTCCAGGTTCTAAAGACTATCGCCTTCTTCAGTGCCAGGCGTTTGATCCGAAGTCTGAAGTGCAGTGGGGATCAGGTGAGATCACGTGTAATGCGGGGTGTGCAGGAAACTATCGCCTTAGTCCCTTTTATCATGTTATTGATAGAAATTATATTGTTCGCTTTTTACTTCAAACTCGACAAGAGGCAGCGTTTCATCATATTTCCAATGAAGGATAAAGTTTGAAAAATGGCACGAAACTCTTGACGTCTCTCGGTGAACAATGATTTTTAAATAACATAAAATTATTAAAAGCCATGTTTTATCCATCAGTACGCATAAAGAATTGCAAAAACCTGTTCAGTTCCAAAACAAGGCGAGGAAAGATTGCCATTATTGCATTGATGTTTGAGGCGACCAAACTGGTGCATAAAAGTAATCCACACCACCATATTGACCGAACTAAATATCAACGCTTCAAACATACGAACAAACTGCGTTATGGCTCTTCTCGTGCGTTATAATTGGTCTTGCTTTTAAAGTAAGCATAATCCTTACTACTCGCGCCTCGTCACTACAAAGACACTATTGCTATACCAGCAGTGAACGGCAACTACTACGGTCACAGGAAAATATTTAAGGGAATTTTTGCCCAAACTAAAAGTGTATTCTTGGTTTTCTTAGTCCGTTATTGCAGTAATCCTGATTGGCATCAACATAAGATTTCTAACTCAGGCTCTAACTCTATTGTTTGAGTCACTCAACATAATACCTCGCATTATTTGTTATCTGAGTCTTTCGGTACCATCATGATCAATGCTTTTCCATTTTGGTTCTGTGCTTGTGATTATCTCTGAGCCAAACATAATTATACTCGGATCATGCGTTCATCAATAGCTACTTTACAGTTCTGTGCTTAGTTACCTGGCCCATGGATGAAAGCGAGGTTGAAGGTGACCTGGCTGTTATACAGACCTCTCTGCTTTTCTTATTTAAATGTCAACTAGTTAGCATAGGAACAACTTGATTTACACAACAAAATCAGTGAGATATGCATCAAAACAAGATCACCTCCAGCCTCGCTGCCATTCAGAGGCCAGGTCACTGAGCAGACAACTGTAAAATGGTCTATTTATCCTCAAAAAAGTGTATATGCAAATTAACCCAAAGAATAATTCTGCTAGGCCCAGATGTATTGCAGTTGCCAATTGACGTGATAATTTCTCCCTCAGATCCTTGCATTTTAATGTGCCGCAAAGGAAGTTTAATAACACCTCGAGGCAGAGTTAAGGATGGCACTCTATGCAACATCAACCCCATGATCAAAGATGTCTGCATTGAAGGAATTTGCAAGGTAAAAATTAAACAAATAATTTTAGCAAAACATTTGACAGCTACAAACGGGGCACAGGGCACCGAGCAAAAGCAGACGCGACATGGGGTGCGAGGTACGGGACAGGAGGCAAGAGGCAGGAGACAGGAGGCAGGAGGCAGGAGGCAGGAGGCATGAGGCATGAGGCAGGAGGCGAGGTCTTTAGACAGGGGACACGGAGCACGGGCTGAGGAGCACTGTGCATGGAATGGGTCAAGGGACAAGGGGAATGAGATACTATTGGTCAAAACACGTGTCATTTCCCCCTTGACAGTAAAAGTCTTGACAAATTATTAGCTATCCATTAATCCTCATCCAGACCTTCGGCAAAAATTTACCCACAAGCTGCTCGCAGCCAGTAAATATGTGGGGTTGAATTTGTTGTTGGTTCTTGCCTTGCTCGGAGGATTTTTCTCCGGGTTCTTTGGTTTTCCTCCCTCCACAAAAACCAACACTCCAAATTCTAAATCTACCAGGATACAAGATCCGCACTAAAACCAGCTAAGGCTGATGTGGTTTCCTTTCTAAGTATTGTTATTTATAATTGTTGCCAAAAATTTTCAGTTAAATGCAATTATCTAGTTCTCAAAGTGCGTCTGTCACATATATATCCTTTCCTTCTGTTGTTTGTTTTCATTTTCAGTCCGTTGGTTGTGATATTAAAATGGACTCAGGATTGAAGTATGACCACTGTGCAGTGTGCGGAGGAGACAGCTCCACCTGTACCCTTGTGAGCGGGGAGTACACTTTGAACTGGCGTAAATGGGGTAAAATTCAATCACCAACCTATTGTAAAACATGCCACTTTTGCCCAAGATTACCCATCAGACGAGAATTTTTCCTATCTCATCCAAATCATGAAATTTACCTGGGCTTTTGAGCTTTAAGTACCTTACGAAATGAAGAGTAAATAGGTGTGGCAGACCTGTGAAAATGCATTAACGTCTCATTGCGTATTCAAGGCGAGTTCGATGACATTTGTCAATGACTCTGGCATTTAATTGAAGATAACTTTAGATTTCTTTAACGATAATCAAAGTTATGGGACGTTTACTTTAATTTGTATGCAAATGCTACTCGAAATCTCAAGAAAACGTTATAAGTGTTAGCTTTTGTCGCGGGGGCCCTTCCCAGGCCGGGCTATAACTTAAACCAGCATTTAGAGTTTTGGTTTACAAAAGTCAATGGTTTTTTTAAGCACAAAAAGACACGGTATTATAAAATATGTGAAGATTTCGTATTTATCAAGGAGACGATGTCTACCACTCAATAAATGATAATTATTATTTATTTCTTGGTTTCAAGGGCCCAATAAACCCGACGAAATCGTCACTATCCCAATTGGTTCTACCAACATTTATGCGGCAATGAAAGAAAAAAACAGAAATATGTTGGGTACGTAAGTAGTGATTAGCTGATAATTTGGTGCAAAGCGCAGTGTATAGCTTGCAGACGAAGAAAAAATGCGGGGAACCCACTCTCCCAGCAGTATTTTGGCTTTATTATGTAATACCTAATGAAGCCGAACCATTGCTCCAACGAAAATGTCGCCGAAGCATGCCGAAAAAGTACATATATCCGGTGTAGAGGTCTATAAGACGATACCGCCGGTTCCCCCGTCTTTTCCTTTGGAGTGATAGCTGTTTATTTTATCCGTAGATTTAAGAGTAAGAGCCATCATTTTGTTGGTGGTAGAATTCTTCAACAGCCCGTTGTTTCACTCTCTAAAGGAGCTCAGTCACGGTTTGCGCATATTGAAAAGTTTAGCCTCAATTTTTCAAATTTGTCGTTTGTAATCCGTGTTAATCTTCTCCATCCTTAGCCATCCTTGTTCCTTTATGGGTTAATCATTATCTCTTTGGTGTTTTTCTATCTTATTAAACTGTTATTTTCCGGTTTCCTACCATTTAAAGGTAATTTTGTATGCGGCCAGAATAACTGAAAATACCGTGACTGAACTCCTTTAAGCTTAGACATAACTCTCCAGTAAACGAGTCCGCCGCCGTGCAAAGCCCTCGGTGAAGTTGACGCACTTTGTTAGGTTTTATTGCTGACCTTTCAAGTCGGCAGTCACTAGGGGATGTGAACCCTTCGTGTTCACGAATAGGACACATGCTGGAAGGACAGCACGTAAGCTGGTGCACACGAAATGGGTGTGGCATAAAAACCTGTTGTAGCGGGGACAGTTTGCAAAAGCAGTGCACATAATGCAACATTGAAAACTGAGATCAGTTTGTCCCTACTTCATGACGCACGAATTCAAACCGGGCGAATTTCTTGATACATGTTGCGAGAACAACATTTTGTCCCCGCTACAAAACTTTTGTTATTTAAAATCGGGCAGGTCACGTACACGAGTAAAAAACGTTCGCTGCAACATGTCCCCACAGCAAATCCCTGAGTGTGTGCCGACCTTTAACAGTCCGTAAGAGTGAACGCTTACGCATTATATTCCGCGATTATTAATATCGTCAAGTCATACACATCAGTGTGAAATATATTTCATGGTCACATTGTTTTAACAGAGTTAGCTCACTGAAATATGGCCACTGTCCATTTTGCGATCAAATATATTCCTAACCACACTTCAGAAACACATAGCACAGGACAAAATGTTCTGAGTAATTATTTTCCTGAATGTTTTCTCAGGAGTGAAAAATGAGAATAATCAATGGGTTTACAGGGTGGCATACACTTGGAGTACTGTAGTGAGAGCTGCTGGAACCAAAGTGGCTTACGATCACGAGGATTTCTTATGGAAAGACAAAGTTGAAATACCTGGGCCCACTAAACAAATTCTGAAACTCATGGTGAGACGCTGTCAACTTTTATTTCTATTCAAAATATAGATAGGACCCTGCGCGCGTTCTGATTGGTCAAAACCCAAGTTTTATCAGAATTTATAATATAGATAGGACCCTGCGTGCGCTCTGATTGGTCAAAAACCCATGTTTTATCCGAGTATAAAATATAGAAAAAGCGTGTTTTGCGCGTGTGAAATCTATATCATAAAGCAAATGAATAAGCCTAAGCCGTGTATTACACTGTGATAAAACACTCCGGACATTTGAGAACACTCGAGAAATATAGAAAACACTTGCCTTCTACATTTCCCTCGTGTTTTCAAATGCTCGTCGTGTTTTATCACAGTGTAATACACGGCTTAGGCTTCTTTATTTGTTAAAAGAAACATAGATCAAGAAAAAGCGTGTTTTTTTGTTTTTCGCCACATTACCTCTATACCATAAGCAAATGAAGAAACCTAAACCACTGAAACCCTCTTACATGCATGAAACTGAAGGTGCATTAATATTATCTATAAGAGGCTACTATAGTCGCGATCTAGAAGCAGGCTTCTCTCGTCTTGTTGTGCATTGCTCTTTTTCATTCTTTCATCTAGTACGTGCATATTGAAGGATCAAACCCTGGATTAGAATATCAGTTTTTATCGCCCGAGAAAACTGAAGTATCTCCTGGTCAGGTCGAGTGGAAGATCGGAAAGTGGGACATGTGCTCTGAAGACTGCGCTGGAGGTAATTATATCGTACATCACGGCCGAAAATGACATGCTTCATACAGGTAGTCTTATGATAAAATTTAAAATTCTCAACGTTAAATTTTGACCTGATCATGACTTCCAGAAAAAAGGAGCAAAATGTGAGACACTTGAAAACGTGATACGAAAAATGTCTTAAATTGACAAGCTGAACCTTATTGAATAAACATTTCTCGTAATTGGCTTCAATGAGCTCAGTCACGACATTTTGTGTTATTTTAGCCACGCGCAAAATTACCTTTGAACTAAGGAAAACCTGAAATTAGTAGTTTACTAGGGTAGAAAAATGCAAAAGAGATGAAAATAAACCATAAAGGAACAAGGATGCAGAAGATTAAAACGGATTGCAAACGACGAACTTGGAAATTTTGGGTAAACTTTTCAAACTAATGAGTAAACTGTGACATAGCTCCCTTAGCATTACTCAGAATACTAGAAGTTGTGCTAAATTGTGCGTTTCAATTTACCTTTAAGGGGTCCAGAAGCGACTTGTTGAGTGTGTACGTAAGGACGATGGAAGTTATGTCAATGATAAAATGTGCCTCAAAACCGAACCTAAGCCACCGATGAAGCAGGCTTGTAACACGCAGCCCTGTGAAGCTGAGTAAGGACTGGATCGCGTTATAGTCCTCAATATATTTCCATTGAATATTATCATTCTGAAACAGAATTGTATGAGCTGAAAGGAATGAAAACGCTTCTTTGTGTCTGTTTATCTCACTAACAAGGGAAAAGGTCCAATTTTCGAACATTTCAGCGGTCTTTATATCACGTTTATGCCATTTGTAACTCGTCTTGATTTTGCCCATTCGTAGCTATACACTCCTTACTCTTTTTGATTTATTTTTATGGCTTAATTAATTTTTTTTTTCCTATTTTGAGATTTTCCTTCAATTTAAAAGTAATTTTGTATAAATGTCAGCATCTTGATTTTTACGATGAACCTCGCGCATGCTCAGTAAGTCGTGATACATACTCAGTAAATTTTACACATTTTTTCTTACTTTGATTTTTTATATAACTTGTAAATAGATGGTACGAGTCTGGTTGGCGTCCATGTTCAAGGACCTGTGGCAAAGGAACTCAGCTGAGACAGATTGTGTGCAGGCAAAAGATAAATCAGTCTCATTATGAGACGCTCGAGGACTCCTCTTGTACAGAGCAGAAACCGATCGTGGTTCTTCAGCAGGATTGCAACAAAGTCGCTTGCCCGGCTGAGTGGAAGCATTCAGCGTGGAGCGAAGTAAGTGGTTATTAGCCTCAACTTCATTAGGTTCTAAAGGTAGCTAGGTGGAGAGAAGTAAGGCCTCTAAAGCCCATTTGTCTCATAGCTTTTGGTGCTTAACTCCGGTTTCTGTTGCATGAAGCAGCTAGGATTGATGCGACTTCCCCTAGATGGATGTTACTCCATCGTGGGTTAATCCTCAACGTTCTTTCAGGTTGGCCGAACAATATGCCGGTACCGGTCTGTCAAACTGGGTGGAGAAAGGCACTGTGAGAGTAACGTGTCTCGCCCAAGAACATAACAGAATGACGCGAACCATTACTCGAACCCAGACCGCTCGATCCAGGATCTAGCGCACGAACCATACGCAAGATTAATTGGAGGGGGGAGTTATTAAGTCGAAAGAGTCTAAAAAATGGCATTTGTCTTGTCGATACTTCGTATCCATGGCAACAGAGTATACCAGCTATGACAAAAAACGCGGTTATCAACTGATGTTGAAGTACAGTTCTGTTCAGGTCATTAAAATGTGAGACGACTGCAGACGATTTCCACTGGAGACATATCGAAGGCAAGAGGCTGCGCGAGGCCCGGGCTCGATCCTGACCAGCTTTTTATTTATTTATTTATTTATTACGATTTAATGGCAATTAAATCTAAGTCTAAAGGCATACACAAACAGGCAAAGCCATAAGGATAATCTGTAAAAGAGTGGAACACTCCATGCGAGACAAATCNACGATTTCCACTGGAGACCTATCTGGGTAATATAATATAATAACGCTGTGCTACTGTAACAGCATCAGTCTACACTCTGGAGCCAGTTGTTCAAAGGATGGACGTCACTATCAACATACTGACAAAACAAACTAAGGAAGTGTTTTATTGGATACAAAAAGTGCTATTAACCCTCTGAACAACTTTGACCAGATAAATATAAACGGGTAAGACAAATTGATGGCAACGCTTGACTGAATATGCTAACAGATTGGATAAGGTGGGTTAGCGCCCCACACAGCAAGAGTATTAACCAGAGCAGCAATACTCCTAGTCGCTCCGTGCTTCTGATGTTGACTAACGATTGTAAGAATTCTCACAGGATTTCTTTTTCATATCAACATTATTCTATCTCCTTTCCAGTGCTCTCGGTCATGTGAAGGTGGTATGATGACTCGCACTCTGAAGTGCATGAGACTGAACGCGCAAGGAATGCTGGTATCTGTCTCAGCCGTCCAGTGCGTACACGCCGTCAAACCTACAACAGAGGAAGAATGCAACACCGACATTACTTGTCCACGTGAGTAGCTAGGAAGTTGTAATCATAATTTAACTTATGTACTGCTGATGTAGAAAGGGCAAAAAGGACACTGGCCTAAGGGATAGATCTTGGCAAAACATTATCTAAAAAGTTACAAAAACTACAGAACCGGGCTGCACGTGTTATAACTTCATCAAACTATGACGTATATGTCGATTCCCTATTTCAAAAACTCAGCTGGAAAAACTTGAAATCTCGACGTCAAATTCAGAACGCCTTAATGGTTTTCAAGTCTTTTCACGGTCTTTTTCCGGAATATCTTAAGTTTAAATTTATAAAGCGAAATGAATGAAGCTATTCTCTGAGGGACTCGGTAAACAAACTTGTTGTCCCCTTTCCAAGAACTAACTACATAAAAAATAGTTTTAGTTACAGCCGCGCTGCCCTTTGGAACAGCTTACCCTGTAACATTAGAGAGTCTGGTTCATTAAACAAATTGAAACGCCTTCTCTACCATAATTTTTAAACATGGCATTCATAGAAAGCAGGATTTTTCTTAAGTGGCATATTAATGTAAGTTAGTATAATGTTAGGATTTGGATTTTTAGTCATTATCACGTAATTTTTTCTACCTGATGTTTTTACCGTGTATAAATAATGATTAAAGATTAAAGATTAAAGATCTGTCAAGGCGAACTCTGTCACACACATGCCAGTCTATGCTACAGTAAAATGATGTGGCATAATACAAAAATGACATGGCCAAGGCGTGGCTTGACGCAGCACGTCGTGAAACGTCCTTTTCCGACATAACATGTTATCACCTGTCAACCACGATCCCAGGCTCTCTCTCTTTTCCTTCCCTTGTCGTTGAGGGAAGGAGAGACTGGGATCGAGGATGGTGACCTGCGTGATATGACAGAATCTCAAAACTTTAGAGTTATTAATGAGTTTAGGAAACAGCGATCATCTACAAGATCGACAGTATTATGTCAACCTAATGTCGTTAAAATTTGTATCATGACGCAGAGGCTATTGAGGGCCAGGATGGTAAGCCATTTACACCACTTGGATGTTTCAAGGACTCCAAAAATGTTGCAGACCGTGCGTTGCCGGATTTAGTTGACAATATGCGAGGAAAAATCGACTGGAAGCACTTGGAGAACGTCGTTAAGGAGTGCGCTCATAAAGTGGTGATGAAGAATTCTACTCTTAAGGTGATCATTAACATTTAGTTGATGCATTATTATTCAAGCGTTATGCAATTTGCTCCGTCAGAGAACTGATGTATGTGTTTATATACAACTCGCTTGTTAATGAAGAATTCTAACATTTAATTGATGCATTATTATTTTCGCATAATATTTACGCGTTATATAATTTGCTCCGTCAGAGAATAATTTATATGCTTAAATACAACTAGCAAGTTTCCTTTGAATGCCGTTTGAAAAATAAAGAGGCCAATTGAAGCAACGTTACTCCGTGTACATCAGCGTGTAAGAACAAACTTGGTAAAAAAAAACAACAACAAACATAAAATGTAGTTTATATCCGCGTGAAAGAAGAAAACACGGTTTTCTGTGATTCATATTCCAGTAAAACAATGTTAGTTTTTTAGCCTATCAGAGAGCGCATAATGAAAATAAAATCATTTTGCTTGACTAGCCTTGTGACACTCCGTAGAGAGTACCGTCATTTTATTTGTTTTCGGTTTATTCCATTTCTTTCAGTATGCACTCTTGAAAGAACTGGCGCATGCCCGTTTTAAAAGTTATTCTTAACCATACTTATTTTGCTATAGGTATTTGGCATCCAATTTTGGGGAGAATGTTGGTCAGGGTCTGACGCAGAGAAGACTTACAGCGAATATGGATCGTCTCAGAATTGTTGGAAAGGAGTTGGAGGAACACGAACCAATTTCGTGTACGAGTTTATCGATAATAAGGTGTGTATTATGGCATGTTAAAGTTAGCTCTTCAAATAATACACGGCAGTCATTTCCTAGTAACGTAACCAACGCAGAAGCCATGTTTCATGGAAAAGGCCTGCCTTCCGAAGCACCTCCCACCTAAGCAATAGGCCACTCTTTCTATGGGTTTGCCGGCGCAATAAACCACGCGGAAAGTAGGGAGAACACGAGAAAAGTTTGTAAATCACGAGCCGTTAGGCAAGTGATTTACTTGCTTTTCGAGTGACTTCACAAACGTTTTTTACACTTTGCTTTTGAAAGGCTTAGGAGAAAATCCTGAAGCACATTTATCCTTAAGTCAGCTGTGGATTTCAGCATGGCTTGAATGATATTAATACCGCTATGAGTTTGGAGGTCGTTTCCGAGGACCACACCAACTTTAAATGCTTGTAAACGTTAAAATTGTTGAAGTAAAGAACTCCAAATTTGGTGACTTTTCTTAAAATTTGTCTGGGAACAATTTGGCATGGCATGTCACTGTTGAAGGGAATCGATTTTCCCATGGCAACCATGTTTTGGGAAGTAAAAGATTCCCCGGTTCCAGGAGACCAAAAGGCCAGTCTAATTACGGCTAAGCAAGGTTTTTGTTTACTACCCAATACTTTACATGGTTTAATTTCTGTTAAGTCGCGACATTAATTCGCTTCGATACTAATCTTTCAAGATTACTGTTAGCAAGCCCGTTTCCAGGGCTTTCCCCTTAGATTTCAGGGTAAAAGCACTGGGACTCCATGTTGTATCTTAAATGGAACGGTGTTCTCATGCGGATACTTTCCACACGCTCCAACTTGTCCCCCTACCACAAAGAGGACACCTACCCGGAACTAACAAACATCCTGTTTCATCTTTGTGACTAATATTCTTTCTCTTCTTTTTGTTTTTTTTTTTCTTGTAGAGCCCGTAGTGTTGCGCTTTCTACCTACAGTGAACAATACTTGCATGAAGAAAATTGAAGAAAACAAACGGGAAGTCTTTCCCATGCTGATTCCATTGTAGTTTAGCAACGCTGAAAATTGAATCTCCTTGAAAACATAAAAATGTAATGAAATTCGTGTTAGTCAGAGCTAACATGCGCAAAGTTCTGTCGACTGTTCAAGCTGCTGAGCAGGACTAGAGAAAATAAAATTACCAACGCTATCTTAGTACCTCTTTTTACTTAATGCATAAAGATCCTAGTGCCTTGTTTTACAAAGTATTAAATTAATTTTTCACAAGCCAGCTTCTTACTTCCCTTTTGTCACTGCTCGTTCTCCCATCTCCTTTTACTGCTTACCAAAAACCTCAAGCCAATTTCTGCGTGTCCTTTTAACTGTTCCACCACCCGAAAGAGCAGCTGTGGTAAACTGTTGGATGTTAGAGATGGCAGCCAGAAAAGATAGAGGAATTTGAACTGGCCACCTTCGGAAGGTTATATTGACTTTTTTAACCAAGAAATACTACATCTTCATAGCCAATGTGGAACAAGCTACACGTATAGTAAGTTATTTCAAAAGATCGAATCGATAACCTCCCACCCTAAAGTCTCTGCAAAAGTGCGCACATCCCCCCCCCACCCCCTCTAGGAAGCGTTTTCCCCTTCAAAGGCAAAACTGTCTCTAGTAAAGTATCTTGAGTAGAGAAAATAATTCCCAGAAATTTTCTATCCATGTAACCAAGCACCATGGGCTTCTATCAAGCAACGTACAACTATCACTACCTATCATTTCTTTCGGCTTCGTCGGCGGTCACATCCCAGGGGGGGACATCCATATAAAAAGGACGGGGGTACTCGTCGTGCCTTTCAGGGGTTGAAGAAGCGGTTTTGGTGCCTCTTATGATGTTCAGCCTCAACAGGTCAGCGGCAGGATCGTTTGCGTTACCTTTTGGGGTATTGAGCCCAAACAAATGTGACACGAGATGTTTGCAATTGAAATTTAACTCATGTACTTTTTTTTGGTCTCAGAATTGGTACTTCTTAAGGGTAAAAAAGATTCAAGCCACGCCCACAAACCAGGATCTGACCCCTTAGGCCTGGGAGTTCTTTCCAAAATTTCCGACGAGCTCCCCCGTCCTTTTTACAGTAGAGTCCCCAAGAGGTTTGCACGCGCTTTTCAGAGTCTGAAGGACAACCTCTCTTGAAGCAACTGTA